AGAGACCAGAGAGAGACCAGAGCGAGACCAGAGAGAGACCAGAGCGAGAGAGACCAGAGAGAGAGACCAGAGAGAGAGACCAGAGCGAGAGACCAGAGAGAGAACAGAGAGAGACCAGAGAGAGAGACCAGAGAGAGACCAGAGAGAGACCAGAGAGAGAGACCAGAGAGAGACCAGAGCGAGAGACCAGAGAGAGAGACCAGAGAGAGAGACCAGAGAGAGAGACCAGAGCGAGACCAGAGAGAGACCAGAGCGAGACCAGCGAGAGACCAGAGAGAGAGACCAGAGCGAGAGACCAGAGAGAGACCAGAGCGAGAGACCAGAGAGAGACCAGAGAGAGACCAGAGAGAGACCAGAGAGAGAGACCAGAGAGAGACCAGAGAGAGACCAGAGCGAGAGACCAGAGCGAGAGACCAGAGAGAGAGACCAGAGAGAGAGACCAGAGAGAGAGACCAGAGAGAGAGAGACCAGAGAGAGAGACCAGAGCGAGACCAGAACGAGACCAGAGCGAGAGACCAGAGCGAGACCAGAGCGAGACCAGAGAGAGACCAGAGAGAGACCAGAGAGAGAGACCAGAGAGAGAGACCAGAGAGAGAGACCAGAGAGAGAGACCAGAGAGAGAGACCAGAGAGAGACCAGAGAGAGACCAGAGCGAGAGACCAGAGCGAGAGACCAGAGCGAGAGACCAGAGAGAGAGACCAGAGCGAGAGACCAGAGAGAGAGACCAGAGAGAGAGACCATAGAGAGAGAGACCAGAGAGAGAGACCAGAGAGAGAGACCAGAGCGAGAGACCAGAGAGAGAGACCAGAGCGAGAGACCAGAGAGAGAGACCAGAGCGAGAGACCAGAGAGAGAGACCAGAGAGAGAGACCAGAGAGAGAGTCCAAGAGAGAGAGGACCAGAGAGAGAGACCAGAGAGAGACCAGAGCAAGAGACCAGAGAGAGAGACCAGAGCGAAGAGAGACCAGAGAGACCAGAGAGAGAGACCAGAGAGAGACCAGAGAGAGAGACCAGAGAGAGAGACCAAATAGAGACCGAAGAGAGAGACCAGAGAGAGAGACCAAGAGAGAGAGACCAGAGAGAGAGAGACCAGAGAGAGAGACCAGAGCGAGAGACCAGAGAGAGAGACCAGAGAGAGAGAGACCAGAGAGAGAGACCAGAGCAAGAGACCAGTGCAAGAGACCAGAGAGAGACCAGAGCGAGAGACCAGAGAGAGACCTGGAGAGAGACCAGAGAGAGAGACCAAATAGAGACCAAATAGAGAGACCAGAGAGAGAGACCAGAGAGAGAGACCAGAGAGAGAGACCAGAGCGAGAGACCAGAGAGAGAGACCAGAGAGAGAGACCAGAGCGAGAGACCAGAGAGAGAGACCAGAGAGAGAGACCAGAGAGAGAGACTCAGAGAGAGAGACCAGAGAGAGAGACCAGAGAGAGACCAGAGCAAGAGACCAGAGAGAGAGACCAGAGCGAACGAGACCAGAGAGAGACCAGAGAGAGAGACCAGAGAGAGACCAGAGAGAGAGACCAGAGAGAGAGAGACCAAATAGAGAACCGAAGAGAGAGACCAGAGAGAGAGACCAGAGAGAGAGAGACAGAGAGAGAGACCAGAGCGAGAGACCAAGAGAGAGACCAGAGGAGAGAGAGACCAGAGAGAGAGACCAGAGCAAGAGACCAGAGCAAGAGACACAGAGCAAGAGACCAGAGAGAGACCAGAGCGAGAGACCAGAGAGAGACTCTGAGAAGAGACCAGAGAGAGAGACCAAATAGAGACCAAATAGAGACCAAATAGAGAGACCAGAGAGAGAGACCAGAGAGAGAGACCAGAAAGAGACCAGAAAGAGACCATTCTGGACAACCTTGCGTATCTCAAGTCGTGGTATGGTGTACCTGTGTGTAACCAAATGTGTGTGTGTTGTGTGTGTACCTGTGCTGTCTGGTAGTAATGTGTGGTGTGTACAATTGTGCTGTGGGTGGTAGTCTGGTGTGATCCTGTCTGGCTGGTAGTCTGTGTGTACCTGTGCTGTCTGGTAGTCTGTGTGTGTACCTGTGCAACTGTCTGGTAGTCTGTGTGTAGTACCTGTGCTGTCTGGTAGTCCTGTGTGTGTACCTGTGCTGTCTGGTAGTCTGGTGTGTACCTGTGCTGTCCTGGTAGTCTGTGTGTGTACCTGTGCTGTCTGGTAGTCTGTGTGATGTGTACCTTGGGGTAGCTGTCTGGTAGTCTGTGTGTGTACCTGTGCTGTCGGGTAGTCTGTGTGTGTACCTGTGCTGTCTGGTAGTCTGTGTGTTGTACCTGTGCTGTCTGGTAGTCTGTGTGGATGTACCTGTGCGTAGTCATGGTAGTCTGTGTGTGTATCCTACTGAGGCACGTATCGGTAGTCTGTGTGTGTACCTGTGCTGTCTGGCATAGTCTGTGTGTGTACCTGTGCTGTTGGTAGTCTGTGTGTGTACTGTGCTGTCCCTGGTAGTACAGTGTGTTGTACCTGTGGCTGTTGGTGAGTCTGTGTGTGTACCTGTGCCGTCTGGTAGTTCTGTGTGTGTACCTGTGCTGTTCTGGTGGGGTTGTAGTCTGTGGGTGTACCTGTGCTGTCTGGTAGGTCTGTGTGTGTACCTGTGCTGTCTGGTAGTCTGTGTGTGTGTACCTGTGCTGTCTGGTAGTCCTGTAGTGTGTCACCTGTGCTGCGTATGGTTAGTCTGTGTGTGTACCTTCTGTGCTGTCTGGTAGTCTGTGTGTACCTGTGCTGGCTCTGGTAAGTCTGTGTTGTTACCTGTGCTCTGTCTGGGGTAGTCTGCTGTACCTGTGCTGTCTGGTAAGTCTGTGTGTAACTGTGCTGTCTGGTAGTCTCTGTGTGTGTACCCGTGCTGGTACTGGTATAGGTTCCCCGACTGTGTGTGTACCTGTGCTGTGCTGGTAGTCTGTGCCCTGTGTGTGTGGACCTGTGCTGTCATGGTAGTCTGTGCTGTGATGTGTACCTAGTGCTGTATGGTAGTCTGTGCTGTGATGTGTGTGTACCTGTGCTGTGTGTGCACCTGTGCTGTGTGGTAGTCTGTGATGTGTACCTGTGCTGTGTAGGTTGTCTGATGTGTATGACCTGTGCTGTCTGGTAGTCTGTGTGTACCTGTGCTGTTGGTAAGTCTGTGTGTACCTGTGCTGTCTGGTAGTCTGGCGTGTGTACCTGTGCTGTCTGGTAGAGTCTGTGTGCTTACCTGTGACTGGTCTGGTTGTCTGTGGTGTTACCTGTGCTGTCTGGTAGTTGTCTGTGCTGTGTGCTGTGTACCTGTGCTGTCTGGTAGGTCTGTGCTGTGTGTGTTACGCACGGGGTGTAACACACAGGTAGTTGTGTGTGTACCATGTGCTGTCTGGTAGTCTGTGTGTGTACCTGTGCTGTCTGGTAGTCTGTGTGTACCTGTGCTGTCTGGTAGTCTGTGATGTACCTGTGCTGTTGGTATTTGATCTGTGTGTGGTACCTGTGCTGGTCTGGTAGTCTGTGTGTGTACCTGTGCTGTCTGTAGTAGTTTGTGTGTGTACCTGTACACACAGAGACGCACGGTAACACACCTCAGAGACGCGCGGTAACACACAGAGACGCACGGTAAAACACAGACAGATACGCACGGTAACACACAGAGACAGATACGCACGGTAACACAGAGACAGATACGCACGGTAACACACAGAGACGCGCGGTAAAACACAGAGACAGATACGCACGGTAACACACAGAGACGCGCGGTAACACACAGAGACGCGCGGTAAAACACAGAGACAGATACGCACGGTAACACACAGAGACGCGCGGTAACACACAGAGACGCGCGGTAACACAGAGACGCGCGGTAACACAGAGACGCGCGGTAACACACAGAGACGCGCGGTAACACACAGAGACGCGCGGTAACACACAGAGACGCGCGGTAACACACAGAGACGCGCGGTAACACAGAGACGCGCGGTAACACACAGAGACGCGCGGTAACACACAGAGACGCACGGTAACACAGAGACGCACGGTAACACAGAGACGCACGGTAACACACAGAGACGCACGGTAACACACAGAGACGCACGGTAACACACAGATACGCACGGTAACACACAGAGACGCACGGTAACACACAGACGCACGGTAACACACAGAGACGCACGGTAACACACAGAGACGCACGGTAACACACAGAGACGCACGGTAACACACAGAGACGCACGGTAACACACAGAGACGCACGGTAACACACAGAGACGCACGGTAACACACAGAGACGCACGGTAACACACAGAGACGCACGGTAACACACAGAGACGCGCGGTAACACACAGAGACAGATACGCACGGTAACACACAGAGACAGATACGCACGGTAACACACAGAGACGCGCGGTAACACACAGAGACGCGCGGTAACACACAGAGACGCGCGGTAACACACAGAGACACGCGGTAACACACAGAAACACGCGGTAACACACAGAGACACGCGGTAACACACAGAGACACACGGTAACACACAGAGACACACGGTAACACACAGAGACAGTTACACACGGTAACACTCAGAGACACACCCACCCACGGACACACACAGACTTACACAACCACACACACAAAGAGTGAGTGTGTGTGTTTGTGTGTCCAGTGTATGCTCATGTGTGTATTTGTGTGTGTATGTCCAGTGTATGCTCATGTGTGTATTTGTGTTTGTGTGTCCAGTGTATGCTCATGTGTGTATTTGTGTTTGTGTGTCCAGTGTATGCTCATGTGTGTATTTGTGTGTGTGTGTCCAGTGTATGCTCATGTGTGTATTTGTGTGTGTGTGTGTCCAGTCAATTCTTGTGTTTCATGAACCTGGCCAGTAGGGGGCGAATGAGCAGAGGTGACTTTACATGTAAAACCCATAGACTGTATATATTAACGGACAGAGTCTATCTCCGCCGTTCATAGGAGTTGGCCATGAAAAGTGCTTTCATGGAGCAATCCAAGATGGCCGCGAGTGGTCCCGCCCACAAGAAAATTGTGAAACGCATCTGTGCATGTGTCAGCCGGAGAGAGCTCCATTCATTTGAACGAGAGACTTCTAAAGTCCACAGCGACTAAACTAGAGTGGACCAAAACACTCAGCATTGACACACATGTGGAACAGAGCTTTGGGCCAAGAGACAACTTTTGGTCCATCCTGTAAAGACGTTTTTGAGAGGTCCGCCAATGCTATATGTTAGCATTGGCTAATTCTTCTTCTGGGTCCACCCCCACAGGCCCGGGGTGGTATTGCAGCACCCGCCCCCACTGGCAAAACCATGTAAAGTCTGTTTTGGAGTCAAAGGCTCTCCTCCTGTGCGGTGTACGGTTGGGGACACTCAATTCTAAGGTAGTACTAACAAATATTTCTCAAAAGAGTCTTGATTTCGGGTATTTTTGAAAAGAAAAACAGAAGAAATGTCTGTTTCATTGGGGTGGCCTGCAGGGGGCGCTTATCTGGGAAAGCCTTGATCCACCTCGCCTCATTCCAGTGATTTTTTCAAAGTGTCCTCCTTTTTATGAGACCACAGTTGGAACATGAACAAACTCCATCCATCCATCCATTTTCTACCCTTTTTTCCATTTCTGGGTCAGGGGGGTGGCAGTCAGAGATGCCACCCAAGTCTCATAGCACCAGCCCCTCACTGACCCTCTGCAGGTGGTGAGTCCACAGGAGGACGGCTGCTCTCTGAGTGTGAGCATAGCCTTGATCTTTCAGCGGGGGCTTTGGGCAAAGTGGGGTTAAGTGTCTTGCCCAAGGACACAACGACAGCAGTCATCAGTGGGAGTCGGTGGAGAAGGTGCAGAGGTGGGAATTGAACCCACGACCTTCTGGCCTTAAGGCCAATGCTCTACCAACTGAGCTACTGTCGCCCCGTGAACAAACTCTGGTCTCTCTATTTGTGCGGTTGCTACAAACGTACACCGCACAAAAAGATGCTTCTTCTTCTACTATATCTCCGTGTATAAACCGCTTCTTCTTCTACTATATCTCCGTGTATAAACCTCTTCTTCTACTATATCTCCGTGTATAAACCACTTCTACTATATCTCCGTGTATAAACCTCTTCTTCTACTATATCTCCGTGTATAAACCTCTTCTTCTTCTACTATAGGTCCGTGTATAAACCTCTTCTTCTACTATATCTCCGTGTATAAACCACTTCTTCTATATCTCCGTGTATAAACCTCTTCTTCTTCTATATCTCCGTGTATAAACCTCTTCTTCTACTATATCTCCGTGTATAAACCTCTTCTTCTTCTACTATATCTCTGTGTATAAACCACTTCTACTATATCTCCGTGTATAAACCTCTTCTTCTACTATATCTCCGTGTATAAACCTCTTCTTCTATATCTCCGTGTATAAACCTCTTCTTCTTCTACTATATCTCCGTGTATGAACCTCTTCTTCTATATCTCCGTGTATGAACCTCTTCTTCTACTATATCTCCGTGTATAAACCCGGTAGGCTGCACCTCCAGGGTACGTCCTGTCCTACGTTTGTTATTCGCCACTGCCCTGACGTCATAGGAAACCCGAGAATACTTTGTGTGTGTCCAGTGTATGCTCGTGTGTGTGTGTGTGTGTGTGTCCAGTGTATGCTCATGTGTGTGTGTGTGTGTGTGTCCAGTGTATGCTCATGTGTGTGTGTGTCCAGTGTATGCTCGTGTGTGTGTGTGTGTGTCCAGTGTATGCTCATGTGTGTGTGTGTGTCCAGTGTATGCTCATGTGTGTGTGTGTGTCCAGTGTATGCTCATGTGTGTGTGTGTGTGTGTGTGTCCAGTGTATGCTCATGTGTGTGTGTGTCCAGTGTATGCTCGTGTGTGTGTGTGTGTCCAGTGTATGCTCATGTGTGTGTGTGTGTCCAGTGTATGCTCATGTGTGTGTGTGTGTCCAGTGTATGCTCGTGTGTGTGTGTGTGTGTCCAGTGTATGCTCGTTTGTGTGTGTCCAGTGTATGCTCGTTTGTGTGTGTCCAGTGTATGCTCGTGTGTGTGTGTGTGTGTCCAGTGTATGCTCATGTGTGTGTGTGTCCAGTGTATGCTCATGTGTGTGTGTCCAGTGTATGCTCATGTATGTGTGTGTGTGTCCAGTGTATGCTCGTGTGTGTGTGTGTCCAGTGTATGCTCGTGTGTGTGTGTCCAGTGTATGCTCATGTATGTGTGTGTGTGTCCAGTGTATGCTCATGTATGTGTGTGTGTGTCCAGTGTATGCTCGTGTGTGTGTGTGTCCAGTGTATGCTCGTTTGTGTGTGTCCAGTGTATGCTCGTGTGTGTGTGTGTGTGTCCAGTGTATGCTCATGTGTGTGTGTGTCCAGTGTATGCTCATGTGTGTGTGTGTCCAGTGTATGCTCATGTGTGTGTGTCCAGTGTATGCTCATGTGTGTGTGTGTCCAGTGTATGCTCGTTTGTGTGTGTCCAGTGTATGCTCATGTGTGTGTGTGTCCAGTGTATGCTCATGTGTGTGTGTCCAGTGTATGCTCATGTGTGTGTGTCCAGTGTATGCTCATGTATGTGTGTGTCCAGTGTATGCTCGTTTGTGTGTGTCCAGTGTATGCTCATGTATGTGTGTGTGTGTCCAGGGGATGCTCGTGTGTGTGTGTGTGTGTCCAGTGTATGCTCATGTGTGTGTGTGTCCAGTGTATGCTCATGTATGTGTGTGTGTGTCCAGTGTATGCTCGTGTGTGTGTGTGTCCAGTGTATGCTCGTTTGTGTGTGTCCAGTGTATGCTCATGTATGTGTGTGTGTGTCCAGTGTATGCTCGTGTGTGTGTGTGTCCAGTGTATGCTCGTTTGTGTGTGTCCAGTGTATGCTCGTGTGTGTGTGTCCAGTGTATGCTCGTGTGTGTGTGTCCAGTGTATGCTCGTGTGTGTGTGTGTCCAGTGTATTCTTATTGTGTGTGTGTGCAGGGTATGCGTTCTCGGAGGACGGGCAGACCCTGGCCTATGGCACCAGTGCCAGTGGCTCTGATTGGGTGGAGATCCACTTCCTGCGTGTGGACGGAGCGATCCCATTGGACGACCATCTGAAGAGAGTGAAGTTCAGCTGCATGTCCTGGACCCACGACGGGAAGGGGCTGTTCTACAACTGTTACCCCGAGCAGGAGGGCAAGAGCGACGGTACACACACACACAGACATACACATACAACTGTTACCCCGAGCAGGAGGGCAAGAGCGACGGTACACACACACAGACATACACATACAACTGTTACCCCGAGCAGGAGGGCAAGAGCGACGGTACACACACACACAGACATACACATACAACTGTTACCCCGAGCAGGAGGGCAAGAGCGACGGTACACACACACACAGACATACACATACAACTGTTACCCCGAGCAGGAGGGCAAGAGCGACGGTACACACACACACAGACATACACATACAACTGTTACCCCGAGCAGGAGGGCAAGAGCGACGGTACACACACACACAGACATACACATACAACTGTTACCCCGAGCAGGAGGGCAAGAGCGACGGTACACACACACACAGACATACACATACAACTGTTACCCCGAGCAGGAGGGCAAGAGCGACGGTACACACACACACAGACATACACATACAACTGTTACCCCGAGCAGGAGGGCAAGAGCGACGGTACACACACACAGACATACACATACAACTGTTACCCCGAGCAGGAGGGCAAGAGCGACGGTACACACACACACAGACATACAACATACAACTGTTACCCCGAGCAGGAGGGCAAGAGCGACGGTACACACACACAGACATACACATACAACTGTTACCCCGAGCAGGAGGGCAAGAGCGACGGTACACACACACACAGACATACACATACAACTGTTACCCCGAGCAGGAGGGCAAGAGCGACGGTACACACACACAGACATACACATACAACTGTTACCCCGAGCAGGAGGGCAAGAGCGACGGTACACACACACACAGACATACACATACAACTGTTACCCCGAGCAGGAGGGCAAGAGCGACGGTACACACACACAGACATACACATACAACTGTTACCCCGAGCAGGAGGGCAAGAGCGACGGTACACACACACAGACATACACATACAACTGTTACCCCGAGCAGGAGGGCAAGAGCGACGGTACACACACACAGACATACACATACAACTGTTACCCCGAGCAGGAGGGCAAGAGCGACGGTACACACACACACAGACATACACATACAACTGTTACCCCGAGCAGGAGGGCAAGAGCGACGGTACACACACACACAGACATACACATACAACTGTTACCCCGAGCAGGAGGGCAAGAGCGACGGTACACACACACAGACATACACATACAACTGTTACCCCGAGCAGGAGGGCAAGAGCGACGGTACACACACACACAGACATACACATACAACTGTTACCCCGAGCAGGAGGGCAAGAGCGACGGTACACACACACAGACATACACATACAACTGTTACCCCGAGCAGGAGGGCAAGAGCGACGGTACACACACACACAGACATACACATACAACTGTTACCCCGAGCAGGAGGGCAAGAGCGACGGTACACACACACAGACATACACATACAACTGTTACCCCGAGCAGGAGGGCAAGAGCGACGGTACACACACACAGACATACACATACAACTGTTACCCCGAGCAGGAGGGCAAGAGCGACGGTACACACACACAGACATACACATACAACTGTTACCCCGAGCAGGAGGGCAAGAGCGACGGTACACACACACACAGACATACACATACAACTGTTACCCCGAGCAGGAGGGCAAGAGCGACGGTACACACACACACAGACATACACATACAACTGTTACCCCGAGCAGGAGGGCAAGAGCGACGGTACACACACACAGACATACACATACAACTGTTACCCCGAGCAGGAGGGCAAGAGCGACGGTACACACACACACAGACATACACATACAACTGTTACCCCGAGCAGGAGGGCAAGAGCGACGGTACACACACACAGACATACACATACAACTGTTACCCCGAGCAGGAGGGCAAGAGCGACGGTACACACACACACAGACATACACATACAACTGTTACCCCGAGCAGGAGGGCAAGAGCGACGGTACACACACACAGACATACACATACAACTGTTACCCCGAGCAGGAGGGCAAGAGCGACGGTACACACACACAGACATACACATACAACTGTTACCCCGAGCAGGAGGGCAAGAGCGACGGTACACACACACACAGACATACACATACAACTGTTACCCCGAGCAGGAGGGCAAGAGCGACGGTACACACACACACAGACATACACATACAACTGTTACCCCGAGCAGGAGGGCAAGAGCGACGGTACACACACACACAGACATACACATACAACTGTTACCCCGAGCAGGAGGGCAAGAGCGACGGTACACACACACACAGACATACACATACAACTGTTACCCCGAGCAGGAGGGCAAGAGCGACGGTACACACACACACAGACATACACATACAACTGTTACCCCGAGCAGGAGGGCAAGAGCGACGGTACACACACACACAGACATACACATACAACTGTTACCCCGAGCAGGAGGGCAAGAGCGACGGTACACACACACAGACATACACATACAACTGTTACCCCGAGCAGGAGGGCAAGAGCGACGGTACACACACACACAGACATACACATACAACTGTTACCCCGAGCAGGAGGGCAAGAGCGACGGTACACACACACAGACATACACATACAACTGTTACCCCGAGCAGGAGGGCAAGAGCGACGGTACACACACACACAGACATACACATACAACTGTTACCCCGAGCAGGAGGGCAAGAGCGACGGTACACACACACAGACATACACATACAACTGTTACCCCGAGCAGGAGGGCAAGAGCGACGGTACACACACACACAGACATACACATACAACTGTTACCCCGAGCAGGAGGGCAAGAGCGACGGTACACACACACAGACATACACATACAACTGTTACCCCGAGCAGGAGGGCAAGAGCGACGGTACACACACACAGACATACACATACAACTGTTACCCCGAGCAGGAGGGCAAGAGCGACGGTACACACACACACAGACATACACATACAACTGTTACCCCGAGCAGGAGGGCAAGAGCGACGGTACACACACACACAGACATACACATACAACTGTTACCCCGAGCAGGAGGGCAAGAGCGACGGTACACACACACACAGACATACACATACAACTGTTACCCCGAGCAGGAGGGCAAGAGCGACGGTACACACACACACAGACATACACATACAACTGTTACCCCGAGCAGGAGGGCAAGAGCGACGGTACACACACACAGACACACACACAGACACACACACTTCAATAGTCATGTTTCCACCGCAGACTTCTACAAAGTTGGACCCATCGCAGCGTATTCAAGTTATTTATTTTAGTTCTGAACCGCTCCGGTTGTTGTGGTCTTTGAGTTATTTATAGTCCTGCTTCATTGTTTAAAAAAAAAACTGTTCCTGGCGTTGTCTGAATGTGATGAATCCCCAGTGCGTCGAGGTGAAGCTGATGAATCTTACGTCTTTCTATTTCCGTGATGCCTCAAGCCCCGTCTGAATATCCGTCCATCATTCGTACCTCTCTCTGTTGATGTTTGCCGTTTCCAGTGGCGTGTGCGAGACTAATGCTGCTGGATCTGAAAGATGCCAGTAGGTTTGGTGCCTTCTGCTGCCGTCAGAGCCAACGCTAGCTTTAGCCAATCAGCACCAGGTTAACCTCAAGCCCCGCCCAGGGGCTTTTCAGGAGGAGGAACTCCGTTGGTCCCTTTAAAAATACACCAAAGTTCCTGCGGTGGAGACGTGACTCAGAGACTTAATAAAACCGTCCACATCACCAACACAGATCAGAATCAAACAGTTCAAACACAAAGACTAGAGAACACATGGTTTTGGTCCACAGGGAGAGACCAATGTCCATAAGTGTGAAGTCCATAAAACCAGTCTGACGTTGCCGTAGTAACCGTGGTCTCTCCCACAGGCACCGAGACGTCCACAAACCTGTTCCAGAAACTGTACTACCACGTCCTGGGGACGCCTCAGTCTGAGGACGTGCTCTGTGCGGAGTTCAACGACCACCCCAAGTGGATGAGTGGAGCTGAGGTACACACCCTGTAGACCCGGGACTGAGGCTGTAGACCCAGGACTGAGGCTGTAGACCCAGGACTAGACCCAGGACTGAGGCTGTAGACCTAGACCCAGGACTGAGGCTGTAGACCCAGGACTGAGGCTGTAGACCCAGGACTGAGGCTGTAGACCCAGGACTGAGACTGTAGACCCAGGACTGAGGCTGTAGACCCAGGACTAGACCCAGGACTGAGGCTGTAGACCTAGACCCAGGACTGAGGCTGTAGACCTAGACCCAGGACTGAGGCTGTAGACCCAGGACTGAGGCTGTAGACCCAGGACTGAGGCTGTAGACCCAGGACTGAGGCTGTAGACCTAGACCCAGGACTGAGGCTGTAGACCCAGGACTGAGGCTGTAGACCCAGGACTGAGACTGTAGACCCAGGACTGAGGCTGGACCCAGGACTGAGGCTGTAGACCCAGGACTGAGGCTGTAGACCCAGGACTGAGGCTGTAGACCCAGGACTGAGGCTGTAGACCCAGGACTGAGGCTGTAGACCCAGGACTGAGGCTGTAGACCCAGGACTGAGACTGTAGACCCAGGACTGAGGCTGTAGACCCAGGACTGAGGCTGTAGACCCAGGACTAGACCCAGGACTGAGGTTGTTGACCCAGGACTAGACCCAGGACTGAGGCTGTAGACCTAGACCCAGGACTGAGGCTGTAGACCTAGACCCAGGACTGAGGCTGTAGACCTAGACCCAGGACTGAGGCTGTAGACCCAGGACTGAGGCTGTAGACCCAGGACTGAGGCTGTAGACCCAGGACTGAGGCTGTAGACCCAGGACTGAGGCTGTAGACCCAGGACTGAGGCTGTAGACCCAGGACTGAGGCTGTAGACCCAGGACTGAGGCTGTAGACCCAGGACTAGACCCAGGACTGAGGCTGTTGACCCAGGACTAGACCCAGGACTGAGGCTGTAGACCCAGGTCCGAGGCTGTAGACCCCGGGACAGTGGGTGAATAGCAATGAACAGACTACAGCTAATGCTGTGGTCTCTTGCAGGTGTCGGACGATGGGCGGTACGTGCTGCTGTCAATCAGAGAGGGCTGTGATCCTGTCAACAGACTCTGGTACTGCGACCTGGGACCCAAACCTGAGGGCATCACTGGTAAGAGACGAGAGAGAGACCAGAGAGAGGCCAGAAAGAGAGAGGCCAGAAAGAGACCAGAGAGAGAGGGACCATAGAGAGGGACCATAGAGAGGGGCCAGAGAGACCTTAATCAGAATCGGAATCATTTTTATTGCCACGTAAGTAACAGGAAGTCACTATTTACAATATCCAAGTGCACATGGTGCACACAATGTAAGGTGACAGCAGTACAGTGAAGTAAAGTGACGTATGATGGGCAGTAAAGTGACTTTATAAAGGGCGGGGGGACAGGTTAAGAAGTGTTCAAGAGTCCAACAGCAGAGGGGAAGAAACTGTTCTTGTGGCGGGAGGTTCTAGTCCTGATGGACCGCAGCCTCCTGCCTGAGGGGAGTGGTTGGAATAGTCCATGTGCAGGTGAGAGGGGAGTGGTTGGAATAGTCCATGTGCAGGTGAGAGGGGAGTGGTTGGAATAGTCCATGTGCAGGTGAGAGGGGAGTGGTTGGAATAGTCCATGTGCAGGTGAGAGGGGAGTGGTTGGAATAGTCCATGTGCAGGTGAGAGGGGAGTGGTTGGAATAGTCCATGTGCAGGTGAGAGGGGAGTGGTTGGAATAGTCCATGTGCAGGTGAGAGGGGAGTGGTTGGAATAGTCCATGTGCAGGTGAGAGGGGAGTGGTTGGAATAGTCCATGTGCAGGTGAGAGGGGAGTGGTTGGAATAGTCCATGTGCAGGTGAGAGGGGAGTGGTTGGAATAGTCCATGTGCAGGTGAGAGGGGTCGGCTGTGATACGACCAGCCCGGCCTCGAGCTCGGGCGACGTACAGGTCCTGCAGCGATGGAAGGCTGCGGCCGATCACTTCCTCTGCAGAGCGCACAATGCACTGTAGTCTCTGTTTGTCCCTGACTGTGGCTCCAGCGAACCACACGGTGATGGAGGAGGTGATGGAGGAGGTGATGGAGGAGGTGATGGAGGAGGTGATGGAGGAGGTGATGAGGAGGTGATGAGGAGGTGATGGAGGAGGTGATGGAGGAGGTGATGAGGAGGTGATGGAGGAGGTGATGGAGGAGGTGATGGAGGAGGTGATGGAGGAGGTGAGGATGGACTCGATGATGGCCGTGTAGAACTGCAGCTTGGCTTTCCTGAGCTGCCGCAGGAAGTACATCCTCTGCTGGGCCTTCTTGATGAGGGAGCTGATGGTCGGCTCCCACTTGAGGTCCTGGGTGATGGTGGTGCCCAGGAAACGGAAGGACTCCACAGAGGTGATGGGGGAGTCCATCACGGAGGGTGGGGGCGGGGGGACAGTGCTCTTCCTGAAGTCCACAATCATCTCCACTGTCTTCAGGACAGTCTCAGGAAGAGTTGTTTAATCTCTTTAGAGGCTATTGTTAGGCTGGGGGCAGGGCTGATGGGTGGGTCATTAGAGTAGTGGGGGGTGGGGGAGGGGGAGAGGTGTCAGGGGCAGCATCAAAGCGACTGAAAAATAAGTTCAGTTCGTCAGCTAGCTTGTGGTCGTCAGCACAGGGGGGGGGGCTTTGGGTTTGTAGTTGGTGATCTCCCGTAGGCCCCTCCAGACAGAAGCAGTATCGTTGTTACCAAACTGCTCCTGTAGTCGTTCTCTGTGCCGGGACTTGGCTGCTTTCAGTTCTTTCCTGAACTGATATTTAGCTGCTTTGTAGCCGCTGCGGTCCCCCTCCCTGAAAGCAGACTCCTTTGCTTTCCTGAGCTGCCGGAGTTTAGCAGTGAACCAGGGTTTGTCGTTGTTATAGATGACCCTGGTCCTTGTTGGAATGATGCTATCCTCACAGAAGTGAATGTATGACGTCACAGTGTCCGTGTATTCATCCAAACTATCTGTGGCAGCTCTGAAAAGGTCCCAGTCTGTAGATTCCATGCATGCAGCTCTTCCACAGCTTCATCAGACCACACTTTGGAGCTCCTCACTGCAGGTTTCGAGAGCTTTAGTCTCTGTCTGTAAGCAGGAACCAGATGTATCATGGAGTGATCTGAGAAGCCGAGGGCTGGCTTGGGAACAGCGCGAAAAGCTCCGCGCACGGTGGTGTAACAGTGATCCAGAGTGTTCTCCTCTCTGGTCGGGCATTTGATAAACTGTCTGTATTTGGGTAATTCCTGGCTCAAGATGCCAAGAAAACAGGCAATAGGTCCATGGGAACGGTGGGTCGGATGTTCATAAGTTCCTCACGGGTGTAGGAACAGCCAGATGCACAGTTAAAAAGTAAAAACAAAAGAAAAAGAGAGCAGCAAAGAGCCGTGTCGACCGTACGAGGCGCCATCTTTGTTCATCTTCATGTCGTGAAATATCCACATTAATTTGAAACACTGATACTGATGGTTTTGCATTCCCCCTAACTCCCTCCCGCCTCCCCCCCCCCTTCAGGCCTGTTGCCGTGGGTGAAGCTCATCGATAACTTTGACGCCGAGTACGAGTACGTGACCAACGAGGACACGGTCTTCACCTTCAAGACCAACCTCCATGCGCCGCGCTACCGCCTCATCAACGTGGACTTCAGCAGTCCCCAACCCGGCCACTGGAGGGAGCTCATCCCCCAGCACAACAAGGACGTCATCGGTGAGTCCCAGCAGGAGGCCAGTCCCTGTGCTCCTCAGAGTCCCAGCAGGAGGCCAGTCCCTGTGCTCCTCAGAGTCCCAGCAGGAGTCCAGTCCCTGTGCTCCTCAGAGTCCCAGCAGGAGGCCAGTCCCTGTGCTCCTCAGAGTCCCAGCAGGAGGCCAGTCCCTGTGCTCCTCAGAGTCCCAGCAGGAGGCCAGTCCCTGTGCTCCTCAGAGTCCCATTAGGAAGAATATATTTTCTCTCTCTGGTCTCTCTCTCTGGTCTCTCTCTCTGGTCTCTCTCTGGTCTCCCTCTCTGGTCCCTCTCTGGTCTCTCTCTGGTCTCTCTCTCTGGTCTCTCTCTCTGGTCTCTCTCTCTGGTCTCTCTCTCTGGTCTCTCTCTGGTCTCTCTCTCTCTGGTCTCTCTCTCTGGTCTCTTTCTGGTCTCTTTCTGGTCTCCCTCTGGTCTCTCTTTCTGGTCTGGGTCTGTGTGAAACCATGAACACAATTGTGAAACACACAAGAGTGTGTCAGAGATACTTAGGCTGTTTCCAGACGATTCAGAAATAACTTGTCTCTCTGTGTGTTGTTGTGTGTCTCTGTCTCTGTGATGTTGTTGTGTGACTGTGTGTGTTGTGTGTCTCTGTGTGTTGTTGTGTGTAGTCTTTGCCACGTGCGCACACTCCAGCCTCCTGTTCGTGTGTTTCCTCCACGATGTGAAGAACGTGTTGAAGATGTTCCAGCTCAGCTCCGGGGACGAGCTGCGAACCTTTCCCCTGGACGTGGGCTCCGTGGTCGGCTTCACGGGACGCAAGACGGACTCGGAGATCTTCTACTACTTCACCTCCTTCCTCTCTCCAGGTGAGCCCTCATCTTCCTCATCCTCATCTTCCTCATCGTCATCCTCCCTCATCGTCATCCTCCCTCATCGTCATCCTCCCTCATCGTCATCCTCCCTCATCCTCAGTCTCCCTCATCCTCCCTCATCCTCCCTCATCCTCATCCTCCCTCATCGTCATTCTCCCTCATCGTCATTCTCCCTCATCGTCATTCTCCCTCATCCTCATCTCCCTCATCCTCCCTCATCCTCAGTCTCCCTCATCCTCCCTCATCGTCATTCTCCCTCATCCTCCCTCATCCTCATCCTCCCTCATCGTCATTCTCCCTCATCGTCATTCTCCCTCATCCTCATCTCCCTCATCCTCATCCTCCCTCATCCTCAGTCTCCCTCATCCTCATCCTCCTTCATCGTCATTCTCCCTCATCCTCATCCTCCCTCATCCTCATCTCCCTCATCGTCATCCTCCCTCATCATCATCCTCCCTCATCCTCATCCTCCCTCATCGTCATTCTCCCTCATCCTCATCCTCCCTCATCTTCATCCTCCCTCATCCTCATCCTCCCTCATCCTCATCCTCCCTCATCCTCCCTCATCCTCATCCTCCCTCATCCTCCCTCATCCTCATCCTCCCTCATCCTCCCTCATCCTCATCCTCCCTCATCCTCATTCTCCCTCATCCTCCCTCATCCTCATCCTCCCTCATCCTCCTCATCCTCCCTCATCCTCATCTCCCTCATCCTCCCTCATCCTCATCCTCCCTCATCCTCCCTCATCCTCATCCTCCCTCATCCTCATCTCCCTCATCACAGTAATCCTGGATGTTTCCCTTCCCATAAAATAGATAAAATAGTTGAGAGTGAGTTTATGGCCACAGTCTGTAATAATTATAACTCAGATCTTCTTCTCCTCTTCCTCCTCTTCATCTTCTCCTCCTTCCTCTTCCTCCTCTCCTTCCTCTTCCTCCTCTTCCTCAGCGATCATCTTCCACTGTGACCTGACCCAGGTGCCTCTGCAGCCGCATGTGTTCAGAGAAGTCACTGTCAAAGGCTTCAACCCTGCAGACTACCAGACAGCACAGGTACACACTAAGCACAGGTACACACACAGGTACACTGACTACCAGACAGCACAGGTACACACACAGGTACACAGACTACCAGACAGCCCAGGTACACACACAGGTACACAGACTACCAGACAGCACAGGTACACACTAAGCACAGGTACACACACAGGTACACTGACTACCAGACAGCGCAGGTACACACTCAGCACAGGTACACACACAGGTACACAGACTACCAGACAGCCCAGGTACACACTCAGCACAGGTACACACACAGGTACACTGACTACCAGACAGCCCAGGTACACACACAGACTACCAGACAGCACAGGTACACACACAGACTACCAGACAGCACAGGTACACACAGACTACCAGACAGCACAGGTACACACAGACTACCAGACAGCACAGGTACACACAAACTACCAGACAGCACAGGTACACACAGACTACCAGACAGCACAGGTACACACAGACTACCAGACAGCACAGGTACACACAGACTACCAGACAGCACAGGTACACACAGACTACCAGACAGCACAGGTACACACAGACTACCAGACAGCACAGGTACACACACACAGCACAGGTACACACACACAGCACAGGTACACACACACAGCACAGGTACACACACACAGCACAGGTACACACACAGCACAGGTACACACACAGACTACCACACAGCCTACCAGACAGCACAGGTACACACACAGACTACCGGGCGGCACGGTGGCTGAGTGGATAGCACTCTCGCCTCTCAGCAAGAAGGTCCTGGGTTCGAATCCCGGTCGGACCAGGGCCTTTCTGAGTGGAGTTTGCATGTTCTCCCCGTGTCTGCGTAGGTTTCCTCCGGGTACTCCGGTTTCCCCTACCACTAAAAATATGTCCAATAGTTCTGGCATGCGCCTCCTGTACTGGCCCCTCCCATCTCTGTGTGGAGTGAGAGACTAATGCCCAAAAATTAACAATTGTAAACCGCTTTGAGACTCAGATCTGCAGTGAAAAGGCGGTATATAAATAAAAACTTACTTACTTACTTACTACTTACTACCAGACAGCACAGGTACACACACAGACTACCAGACAGCACAGGTACACACACAGACTACCAGACAGCACAGGTACACACACAGACTACCAGACAGCACAGGTACACACACAGACTACCAGACAGCACAGGTACACACACAGACTACCAGACAGCACAGGTACACACACAGACTACCAGACAGCACAGGTACACACACAGACTACCAGACAGCACAGGTACACACACAGACTACCAGACAGCACAGGTACACACACAGACTACCAGACAGCACAGGTACACACACAGACTACCAGAAAGCACAGGTACACACACAGACTACCAGACAGGACAGGTACACACACAGACTACCAGGCAGCACAGGTACACACACAGACTACCAGGCAGCACAGGTACACACACAGACTACCAGACAGGACAGGTACACACACAGACTACCAGGCAGCACAGGTACACACACAGACTACCAGGCAGCACAGGTACACACACAGACTACCAGACAGCACAGGTACACACACAGACTACCAGACAGCACAGGTACACGCTCAGCACAGGTACACACAGACTACCAGATAGCACAGGTACACACACAGCAAAGGTACACACAGACTACCAGACAGCACAGGTACACACAGACTACCAGACAGCACAGGTACACACAGACTACCAGACAGCACAGGTACACACTCAGCACAGGTACACACACAGGTACACACTCAGCACAGGTACACACAGACTACCAGACAGCACAGGTACACACAGACTACCAGACAGCACAGGTACACACACAGGTACACACAGACTACCAGACAGCACAGGTACACACACAGGTACACACAGACTACCAGACAGCACAGGTACACACACAGGTGCACACAGACTACCAGACAGCACAGGTACACACTCAGCACAGGTACACACAGACTACCAGACAGCACAGGTACACACACAGACTACCAGACAGCACAGGTACACACACAGACTACCAGACAGCACAGGTACACACACAGACTACCAGACAGCACAGGTACACACACAGACTACCAGACAGCACAGGTACACACATACTACCAGACAGCACAGGTACACACATAGTACCAGACAGCACAGGTACACACAGACTACCAGACAGCACAGGTACACACAGACTACCAGACAGCACAGGTACACACAGACTACCAGACAGCACAGGTACACACAGACTACCAGACAGCACAGGTACACACAGACTACCAGACAGCACAGGTACACACAGACTACCAGAAAGCACAGGTACACACACAGCACAGGTACACACACAGACTACCACACAGCACAGGTACACACACAGACTACCAGACAGCACAGGTACACACACAGACTACCAGACAGCACAGGTACACACACAGACTACCAGACAGCACAGGTACACACACAGACTACCAGACAGCACAGGTACACACACAGACTACCAGACAGCACAGGTACACACAGACTACCAGACAGCACAGGTACACACAGACTACCAGACAGCACAGGTACACACACGGACTACCAGACAGCACAGGTACACACAGACTACCAGACAGCACAGGTACACACACGGACTACCAGACAGCACAGGTACACACACGGACTACCAGACAGCACAGGTACACACACAGACTACCAGACAGCACAGGTACACACACAGACTACCAGAAGGCACAGGTACACACACAGACTACCAGACAGCACAGGTACACACACAGACTACCAGACAGCACAGGTACACACACAGACTACCAGACAGCACAGGTACACACACAGACTACCAGACAGCACAGGTACACACACAGACTACCAGACAGCACAGGTACACACACAGACTACCAGACAGCACAGGTACACACACAGACTACCAGACAGCACAGGTACACACACAGACTACCAGACAGCACAGGTACACACACAGACTACCAGACAGCACAGGTACACACACACAGACTACCACACAGCACAGACTACCACACAGCACAGACTACCACACAGCACAGGTACACACACAGCACAGGTACACACAGACTACCAGACAGCACAGGTACACACAGACTACCAGACAGCACAGGTACACACACAAACTACCAGACAGCACAGGTACACACACAGACTACCAGACAGCACAGGTACACACACAGACTACCAGACAGCACAGGTACACACAGACTACCAGACAGCACAGGTACACACACAGACTACCAGACAGCACAGGTACACACACAGACTACCAGACAGCACAGGTACACACACAGACTACCACACAGCACAGGTACACACACAGACTACCACACAGCACAGGTACACACACAGCACAGGTACACACACAGCACAGACTACCAGACAGCACAGGTACACACACAGACTACCAGACAGCACAGGTACACACACAGCACAGACTACCAGACAGCACAGGTACACACACAGACTACCAGACAGCACAGGTACACACACAGACTACCAGACAGCACAGGTACACACACACAGACTACCAGACAGCACAGGTACACACACAGACTACCAGACAGCACAGGTACACACAGACTACCAGACAGCACAGGTACACACAGACTACCAGACAGCACAGGTACACACACAGACTACCACACAGCACAGGTACACACACAGACTACCACACAGCACAGGTACACACACAGCACAGGTACACACACAGCACAGACTACCAGACAGCACAGGTACACACACAGACTACCAGACAGCACAGGTACACACACAGACTACCAGACAGCACAGGTACACACACAGACTACCAGACAGCACAGGTACACACACAGACTACCACACAGCACAGGTACACACACAGACTACCACACAGCACCAGGTACACACACAGACTACCACACAGCACAGGTACACACACAGCACAGGTACACACACAGCACAGGTACACACACAGCACAGACTACCAGACAGCACAGACTACCAGACAGCACAGGTACACACACAGACTACCAGACAGCACAGGTACACACACAGCACAGACTACCAGACAGCACAGGTACACACACAAACTACCAGACAGCACAGGTACACACACAGCACAGACTACCAGACAGCACAGGTACACACACAGACTACCACACAGCACAGGTACACACACAGACTACCACACAGCACAGGTACACACACAGCACAGACTACCAGACAGCACAGGTACACACACAGACTACCAGACAGCACAGGTACACACAGACTACCAGACAGCACAGGTACACACACAGCACAGGTACACACACAGACTACCACACAGCACAGGTACACACACAGACTACCACACAGCACAGGTACACACACAGCACAGGTACACACACAGCACAGACTACCAGACAGCACAGGTACACACACAGACTACCAGACAGCACAGGTACACACACAGCACAGACTACCAGACAGCACAGGTACACACACAGACTACCAGACAGCACAGGTACACACAGACTACCAGACAGCACAGGTACACACAGACTACCAGACAGCACAGGTACACACACAAACTACCAGACAGCACAGGTACACACACAGCACAGACTACCAGACAGCACAGGTACACACACAGCACAGACTACCAGACAGCACAGGTACACACACAACTACCAGACAGCACAGGTACACACACAGACTACCAGACAGCACAGGTACACACACAGACTACCAGACAGCACAGGTACACACACAGACTACC